TTCGTAGTTCTAGGTGATATTTTGGCGATTTGGTCAACGAGCAAGTTCGTATGGTGTTTTTAGACTTGTGTGCATGTTTGGTTTGGAGTCCCGAGGGCTCAGGTGAGTTTCGAATAGGCTACGGGATGTTTTACACTTAGAAAATCTGGTATTGTGTTGCAGCAGCTATTCTGATATGCCCTTCTTCGCGTTCCCATAGGTAGCATCACGAACGCGAAAGGTAAAATGGGGGCAGGCGGAATTTCCTCTTCGCGAGGGCGAATGACTGGTCGCGAATGCGAGCAGCGGGGTCTTTACCCTTCGCGAACGCGAAGAATAATGGGACCTGGGGGAAGGGCTCATGCTCTTCTACGCGAACGCGACCATTGGGTCGCGAACGCGAAGGCCGGGGGGAGAGTTGCCTTACGCGAACACGTAGATAGGCTCGCGAAAGCGAAGGCCTTAGGCCACTATGGATCGCGATTTCGATAGGTCTCTCGCGAACGCGATGAAGACCTGTCCAGTAATTTTAAAATAGAACAAAAACGAAATTTCTTCTCAAATTTCATATTTCATCACTAGTACTCGACCTAGGGAGATTCTTGAAGAAAAATTTCAACACCAAACCATAGGTTTGTGTTCTTTAACTCAATTCCTTCAATTTCCATCAACACCCATTAGATTTCTAGCCCTAAATCTTGTTCTTTCACGGTAGAATTAGGAATTTTTGGAAGGATTGGTTTTTTTTATTTATTTATAAATTAGGGATTTAGACCTCGATTTGGGGTCGGATTCCGGAACTGACTACATATTTGGGCTCGGGGGGTGAATGGCTGAATGGATTTTGGTCCAAACCTCGAGTTTAGACCAAGCAGGCCCGGGGTCGGTTTTTGACTTTTTGGGGGAAATATTGGAAACTTATAATTATGCATTAGAATTGATTTCTTTAGCGATAATTAATGTTATTAAGTTAATTATGACTAGATACGAGTGGTTCGGAGGTGGAAACTAGAGGAAAAACGGTAATTGAGTAGTGAGTGGCCTGCAGATCGAGGTAAGTGTTTGGTCTAACTTTGACTCGAGGGATTAGGGATCCCCGACTTAATTGCTATGTGAAAATCCACGAGTGTGGCGTATAGGTGAGGTGACGAGTACCTATACGGTGCCAAATTATCTGTTTAGCTTGTTTCTTTCCCCGTTCTTGATGTTTTCATGTTTAATTGCTTCTTGTTAGATGTTGTTTTCTTCATTGAAGGTATTAATTACTTCGTAGTTTTTTGTATTTCATTATTGTTTTAAGTTGGTTTATCGGTTTCATGGTATATTTTGGTTGGTCTCGCCGTGTGGTATTAATTGAGTGAAGTTTCATAATTGTTTAGCCTTCTATTTGCTTTGGTTTGAGGCTTAAATATTGTGGAGGGTTTTGAGCTAAATTGTGAAATTCTTGTTCTTATTGTGTGATTGGTACTGATATGGTGGGATCGGGTTGCGCGCCGCAACAGGAGGAATAAAGGTCACATATTGAGGAGGAATAAGGGTGAAATGTTATTATCTGGTGGGATTGGGTTGCACGCCGCAACAGGAATAATAAGGGTTGTATGTTGAGGAAAAATAAGAGTGAATTACTATTGTACGGTGGGATCGGGTTGCACGTCACAACAAGAGGAATAAGGGTAGATTGAAATGGAGTAATAAGGGTGAATGTTCATATTAATATTAATTATATAGTGGAATCGGGATGCGCGCCGCATTAGTTTACGTATTTATGTACCTTTTCTTCTACTGTGCAAGTTATTCTGTAATTTGGCTTTACATTTAAGGTTTGGTTATAGCTGGTTACTGATGTGATATCGGAGTTCTGTATTATTTCCTTGCAAGTTACTATTTATTTGTTCCGTTCTTCTTTCTGTTTTATTATGCACTGTATGCATGTTATATTATAATTGCCCTGCCGTATCCTCGTCACTACCTCGTCGAGGTTAGGCTCAGCACTTACAAGTACATGGGATCGGTGGTACCGATACTGCCTCTGCACTTTCTGTGCAGAATTTGGAGAGGTCAGTTGCAGACATTTCATCTAAGAGACCCAAGGTAGTCCTGCTGGCGTCCGCAAGCCCTGGCGTCCCCTCCTATGTTTCTGCATTCCTTTTTTCTTTTCTTTCGAAACAGATGTAGTTTCTTTTGAGACCAATGTTTGTAGATATTCATAGTATGTTCGTGGGTTGTGACACAAGTTTTTGGGTAGTAACAATTATGGTATTGTTAATAGTATATAGATAACAGGTTATTTACGTACTTCCGCATTTATTTCAGCTTGATTTAGTTTTGTTAATTTTAATCTATGAAATGTAAAGGAAATAGGTGAATAAAACTCTAATGTTGGCTTGCCTAGCAAGTGTGATGTTAGGCGCCATCACGGTCACGTGGGTGGAAAATCTAGATCGTGACAAAAAGGTAGATAGGAGTGGTTCTTGTAGGGTGGACATAGACGCTTGCCAGTATTTTCAACACGGAATAAATATTTATATATTAAAAACTACTAAAAATTTAGTAAGTATTAAAACATGTACCCATAATTTAAAAAGATAATTAATATGTTTTGTGCTAAAAACATTAACTATCAAGTTCAAATCTTGATTCCTCCTCTCCTGAGTGTAGGAGGTGATAGTGAAAAACTGACTCAACACAGGTAGAGAATACTGAAATAAAATGATGTGAGTATGTGTTTGTTGTAGTTCTGAAAAGGAAAAAGGTAGAGTAATACTTTGGGTGAAACCCCAAAAACAGCAACTTCCAGTGGTCCATTCTTTACCATACTGACAAAAGCTCTCCATCAAAGTGTTAGTAGTGTTAGTCGAAGCTCACAGAGATACATTCAGTACACCTTAGAAAAAGACTCACTCTCAGTACTCTGATAAGACTCACAAAGAAAAAAGAAAAAAAGTTAACCTAAATAGCCGGCCACCAATCGCTTAAACAAAAAATAACTGGATATATATATATATATATATATATATATATATATATATATATATATATATATATATATAACAAAAGTAAACAGTGAATTTGACTAGCTGAGTAGTCTAATGAGACTCACTAAGGGGAAAAAAATTAAACTAAAAATAGTTGGCGGATGTATAATATATATAAGCATATTAAGTATGTCTTTAGCGTAACTATTAAAGTTGTTGTCATGTGACCACGAGGTCACTGGTTAGAGCCATGGAACCTCTTGCAGAAATGCAGGATAAGGCAGCGTACAACAGACCCTATGGTTCGGCCCTTCCCCGATCCGCGTTTATCGGGAGCTTAGTATACCAGAATGCTTTTTTTTAAATATTAAATATATACATAATTGTGTATGCCGACGGTCTATCGGAAACAGTCTCTCTGCCCTTCCAGGTAGGGGTAAGGCTGCGTACATCCTACCCTCCCCAGACCCCACTTGTGGGACCACACTGCGCTGTTATTGTTGTTATTATTGTAATTGTGTATAATTAGTATCTAATGTATGTATACCGACCAAGAAAAATAAACAATGAATTTGATCGACTATTGTGTAAAGATAATAAAGAAAAAGAAAAAAAGAGAGTTATAAGATAGACTGAGAGAGAGTGAGGGCTGTGGCAAATGCAATGCATAGCTAATCAACAGTGCAATTTCTGAAGACTATTCTGACTATCATGTCTGTATGTCTGCTCTCTTGTTTCCAGCTTTATTTTTGCTGAATTCACTTTTAGATTCTACTACTACTACTATAACTACAACTACTACTGCTTCTGAATGACAAAAGAGACAACTCTATGGTTAGCATTTTTAAAAAATAAGATAAGGTCAGGTGGCAGAACCCAACTTTTTTTTCAAGCATAATTGTGTTTTTATTTAATAATCTTAATTAATCTTAGTTATGTTGCTAAAGTGGTAAATGATCTAATCTTATTATGGAAAAATGACATTGTATGTCGCTCTCAAATTAATAGCAGAAAAAAATGTATATTTTTTTTATATGTACACATTATATATATTACAGTTAGATCTCTCTATAACAACATCGGTATAAACAATACTTCACTAACAAAACCAAGCTTTTTCCGGAACCAATTTTAATGTTATGTTATAATATATGTTCTCTATAACAGCAATTCGCTATAACATCCAAAAATATTCAGAACAAACGAGGCTATTATAGAGAGGTTTGACTGTATATATATTAATGATACAAATTTTATACACTTTTTCGACGAACGAATATAAATAGTTTCTAACGCGGGTTAAAAAGTGATAATACCCTTTATCCTACCTTTGTCATATATTTTAACAACACACGAGATGAAATAACAAGCTAATAGAATTACACATGTTTACTGAATCCGTACTAGGATATATATTATCAAACACAATCAAATTTAATCAACTTATGGAGCTTGACACTTCTGAATTTTAACATTGATGACAACCTGGTTTTACTACACTCTTTGTCTTCATCCATTTGCTCCCCTAGAGAACATATGCACACAAAAACATACATGCAAAAGAAGCCAAAAAGTCACTAGTCAAATCTCATTTTTTTGCTCTCATCATTATTGGGGAAAAAATTGAAAATGACACTTTATGATCGCTTTTAAAATAATAGCAAAAAAAAAAATAAAAATATTTTTAGTATATTATTTATAATATATACATTCTGTATATTATATACAAAATTATATAAATTTTATACACTTTCGGCTATCGAATATAAATAGCTTCTGACACAAGATAAAAGTAAGAAAACCCCCAAAAAGGTTAGCTTCATTATAGCTAAGTTCCATCTCCATATAATTCATAATCAAGATTTCCTTCAACGTAAAGACGGAGTCAGGATTTTAAGTTTATGGATTCTGAAAATACCATCAAACTCATAGCTCGATCATCTTACTTACCGGATTCACAGTTACATATTTATACATATTTGACGAATTTCCTAGTACAAGTACAAGGTCTAAGAAAAAGCTACTGAATTCATCTGAACCCGTTATCTAATACTCTAGCTCCGCCCCTGCTTCAACATCTTCTTCTTCATCTTCCTCATCTCCTTCAACTTGATAATAACAATTCTCACTATGTGGTGCATGTCCATCTCCAAAAGCTCTAACATGGTCTTTAAGTGACCTTTTGTGCTTAAAATCTGAACCACAAATACAAAACCAAAGCTTACCACAATTTTTCTCATGAGTTCTCCAATCTCCTCTTACAGCAAAATTCTTCCCACATTTCCTACAAGTAAATGGTTTTGCTCCATGTTTTCTTTTGTAATGTGTTTGAAGAGTTCTAAAGTCTTTCAATGGCTTTGATCTTGGATGGTCTATGTTGTTTTTGCAACCTTCAGCACAACAATAACAAGGCAACCTTAACATTGAAGAAGCTGGTTTTGTCCCTTTTAGTGAATCTGGTCCTTTTCTATATTGTGATCCATGCCCCCACATATGCATCTAGAAATACAAAAATTTGGTCAATAATTAAAGAACATAACAAGTTGGACCAAGCAAAACTTCTTTGTAAACCAAACCATAAATTTTTATTACCGATTTGTGGTAAGTTGGGAATTCAGATCAGCAGGAACTTGACCAAAAGTACAAGCTTCTGAATTAATTCATACATAGATGAGACAATAAAATGACAAAATTCAAGAAGTTTCATGTAAACAAGAGTGGACCTAGGGTTCAAGTGAACCATTATTTTCAGTTTAACCACTAGATATATATGTGAAAATACAGGAAAATAGTATATATATATATATATATATATGAGTGTGCATGATTACATATGAAGAGGCACATCATATTACTATATAGAACAACCCTGTTGATATATATATTCACATGTAGAAAGAAAAAAGTTATGAACTAAAATTGCATATACAAGATCTTTGACATGAATAAAAGAGTATATATAGGAAATTAAACCTGCATGTTGTTGAATCTGTTGAAAGTTTTGTTGCAAACAGTACAAGAGAATTGAGTAGGTCCAACAAGAATTTGAGCTGGTGTTGGAATCCAATATTGTCCATTATTTGCTACTGAAATAATATTATCCCCTTTGTTTTTACTAGGGTTATCGTTGTTTGAACTTGTACCTGAAGAATCAGTATGAAGAGCCACAGTCACACCTTCTCCATAACTAGAATACTGATTATAATAACTCTGAAAATGCAATTTTGTATTTCTTTGAAGGTTTATTTGGCCAGGAGGACCAAGTGAAAGGACAGTAGAAAGTTCATCTTCTACTTCAGTTTCTAAACAGCCACTTTCACTAGAAGATAAGTATGTGATAGAATGAGTTTGCATGGTAATAATAGTGATAATTTTAGGGTTTTTTTGGGTGGAGGGGAGAAAGTGTAGTCTATGATTATGAGGAAGAAAGTTAGGGGAGAAGGAGACAAGCTATAAATAACAAGTTTTAAGAGTTATTGACTAAAGGGTAATAGCAAAAATAGGTGGTCTTGGGTTGGGGACTTTATGCTAGAATTTTGTTTTCTTTTGGCCAAAAGGGAGAAGGGAGAGAGTGCCAAAGATGCTAGGTTTTTCTTGTCTGTCTATTACACAACATTTTACATCCCAAGGGTGTGATAGGATGATTGATATTCTTTCACCTTAATTAAATGTTTAGAATTCGAGCTCAAAAAATGAAGAACTTCATGATAATCATAAACTTTTTACTTTTTTAGTAGTTTTACCTTGTACAAATTCGAATTAATCGAGTCAGTGAGTTTCGAATATATACTTGTCAGGAAGCTTTCTTGCTGTGTGATTCTGCCCCCCCACTCTGCCAGCAGCCTATGTGTCGATCTATACCCAGTTGATCTACCGCTATTTTACTTTGCACGTTCTGGATAGGCGCGCATCCTCATAGAGCGAGGGGTAGAAAAGATCAATGAAAGACTAGAGCGCGAGCTAGCTGATCTACCGACAAGTCCTTGATTTCTTATCCGCGAAGGCAGACTTGGACTCATTGAAGAAAGCACTTGAGGTGAAGACCAATGAGCGATTGCGACAACTACGGACCCCTTAACTAGGTTTTTTACTAATACTAACTAATAGGCTTTCAGAAGCTTTTCCACACAAAGAGGGGAGGAAGTGCTTGCTGCCAACTTGCCAGACGAGCGGACATCTGAGCTCAGCAGCGCATTTACTATTTGGAGATGGATGGCGCCAGGCAGGGTAAAAAGAAGGATTTTTTTCCATTAGCCGAGGAAAGAAGTAGCAAAGGAATATCGCTATCGTGGGAAAAAAAGAAAAACGTAGGATAGGAAGCTCTATTTGATCGAAGGGATGGCTAAAAGGCCAAATCCGGCTAAAAACAAAAAGAAGAGATCAAGGAGAGGGAGCTAGACGAGCACTTGCAAGAGAGCGACCGGCAGATCTAAAACTGCTATAGTAAAGTAGAACGAAAGTACCTCCCAAAGGTTCTACCTTTTCTTGTGCGTTCGGGAATAAATAGAAAGTTTCTAAATGTATAGAAGACTCTCGATTGATTGGTTGTAATGTTCACGAGGTTGTATATAATCCAATGTTCAGTGATATGACTTTCCTACTGACTGAATTGCTTGAATTAGTTGAAGGTGCGGAGTCTTCTTCTTTTGATTTGAGACGAATTCATTTTTCTACTGAAAGTGCTTTTGATAGGGAATAGGGAAAAGCCTTGCCTTATNGCTCAAAAAATGAAGAACTTCATGATAATCATAAACTTTTTACTTTTTTAGTAGTTTTACCTTGTACAAATTCGAATTAATCGAGTCAGTGAGTTTCGAATATATACTTGATGGTTTAAGCTAAAACAAATACTACACAACATTTTGAACACCGAATGGACTTACTTTGTGCAGATTCGAATTAATTGAGCCAGTAAATTTAGGATATATATATATATATATATATATATATATATATATATATATATATATATGTATATATATATATATGTATATGATTGTTTAAGCTAAAAGAATATTACACAACATTTTGAATGTATGCACCGTTGTTTGGTTGGCCACAAAAGGAGAGACAATTTTAACATAAAATAGTGCATAATACGCCGTAAAATATTTAGTTTGCAATTTATAAAATTATTGCATTAATGTTTTCTTCCACATAATTAATAAAATGCTTGGTTTTTAATATAAACTATGCATCATGTTTCTCGGTAACTCTTGGTACTTAGTTATTGCTTCTCTTCATCTATATAACCTCCTTCCTCAAAATATATTTATTCTTTTATGTGTGAGACAGAAAGACAAAAATATTCTTAAAATCAGCAGCCTCTAAAAGCAATCTATGCATTGTTATTCACTGTATGATAATCCATACATTATTATTCGTTACCTAATTGTTATATTACTAACCATCGCATTATAATTGTTGCATTATAATGCTTAACCAAACGACGCTTAAGGTGTTGTCCCTTTCAAGAACGGATAGTAAGAGTTGCAGGTTAAAATTAATAAATCTCTTAAATTTGTCACTACTCATTCTATAAATTAGTAAATTTTTACTTAATATAACTTTGAACAAGTTATGTCTTCTTAACTAGAAGGGATACTACAAATAGGGAGTTTCATTGGCAATTTTAAGTTGGATCCCTTGAGGTTATGAAAAAGAGCACTTACACCATGTGAGACCTTAATAATCAAATGTGAGTTCAAATTCATATGTCTTAGTCTTAAGACACATTTTAATATTTAAATATGTATTTAAATGTAAGCGATTTAATTTTTAATAAAAATAAATGAGGCTTAAGTGCCATCCACCATTTCATATAAAAGGAGAAAAAAAGGAAAAATATAAAATCAATCGGTCGGTTGGTCGGTCAAAATTAATTATATTGCGAGCTAAAATATTTATAATATACACACATACACATATATAAAAATATACATCATGTTGGATATTATTTTTTGGAGCAACTAAAAATATATTCCCCTCCGGTCCACTTTAGTTGATTTTTTTAATCCTTTTTTGTGGTCCATAATATTTAATTTTTTCAGATATAAAGAAGGAATTAACTTTTTCTTTCTAAAGTTTCTCTTTGGAGTAAAGAGTTGTTTGTTATATTTTTAATTAACAAATTAAGGTTAATATGCTTAATTAATGCTAAAAAATAAATTTCTTATTATATGTGAAAATACCCAAAAAATCAATTAAAGTGAAATGGAGGGACTATATTTCTTTTTAAAAAAAAAAAGGAAATAGTGCACCAAATAAGATGCTCGATTCTAAAATTCTTTAGGCCTTGTCATTTCATATCTCTAGCTGCTTCCTCCTCCCCTTTCTCTCTCCATATTTATGTGCTCTCCTATGAAAGGTTGTATCATACAACATTGCAAACACTGTAGATTCTGCATCCTACACTGGACCCCCACCCCCCAATCACCCCTCCTACCCTGTCTTCTCTCTCTGTGCCAAAGAATTTAAAAAAAAAATTGATTTTTGAAGATGGATGGAATTTAAGAAAAATAAGCATTATTTTATTTCCTTGCACATTTCAAAAAGAAAATTGTGCAAAATTCAGTCCACAACAAATAATGCTTCTTTTGCAGAGAATCGCGATTTGATAAAGGAAGAACCCTATGAGTTCTTATGAGTTCCTATAACAATTTTAAGTTAATATACATGATAACTGGACCGACGCACTGAGTTTCAAGCTAAATATTTTTATATTTAAAATAATTTTTTTGTATAAATACAAAATTTACGCAAAAATTATTAAGTTTACAGGACCCGTAACCTTTGCACTAGATACTCCCCTTATAAGGGCTAAAATTAAACCTAAAGTATAAGGTCATGGGTTCGAACCGCAGAAACAGCCTCTTACAGAAATACAGGATAAGGCTGCGTATGATAGATCCTTGTGGTTCGGCCCTTCCCTGAACCCCTCATATAACGGGAGCTTAGTGCACCGAGCTGAAACGATTGTATAAATATTTTTTCACGATGAATACATAGAACACCAAGAAAGCGGCGTATCCGAAGCTAGTGGAAAGCATTTACGAGGAGGAAAAAAGGTCGAATAGGGAGCGGTATAAGTTGTCTAGGAAGGAGGCAAAGTTAGCGGTTACGGCAGCTAAGAATGCATTTAGTCGTTTATATGAAGAACTTGAGGGTAAAAGCGGGGATAAGAGGCTGTTTAGGCTAGCCAAGGTGAGAGAGAGAGAAAGGCCCGTAACTTGGACCAAGTGAAGTGCATCAAGGACGAAGAAGGTAGAGTTTTGTTGGATGAGGCGCATATCCGTCGGAGATGGCAGACTTACTTCCATAGTTTCTTGAACGAGGATGGGAATAGAGACATTGTTCTGGGTGATTTTGGATCCTTCGAGAGTCGTTGTGACTTTGGGTATTGCAGGCGGATTAGAGTTGAGGAGGTTGTAGGGGCTATGCGTAAGATGAGCAGGGGCAGAGCGACCGAGCCAGATGAAATCTCAGTAGAGTTCTGGAAGAGTGTGGGCAGGGTGGGCTTGGAGTGGCTTACTAGGTAATTTAATGTCATTTTTAGGACAAAAAAGATGCCCGAAGAGTAGAGATAGAGCACGATGGTTCATGTGTACAAAAATAAGGGTGATAACCAAAATTGCAACAACTATCAGGGTATTAAGCTGCTTAGTCATACTATGAAGGTGTGGGAGAGGGTGGTGGAGCTAAGGGTGAGGAGAATGGTGTCTATATCCGAGAACCAATTTGGGTTTATGCCATGGCGTTCGACTACAGAAGTCATTCACCTTGTTAGGATATTGATGGAGCAATATAGGGAGAGGAAGAGAGACTTACATATGGTGTTCATCGATTTAGAAAAGGCTTACGATAAAATCTCGAGGGAGGTTCTGTGGAGATGTTTGAAGGCTAGAGAGGGGTACTAGTGGCCTATATTACGGTGATTAAAGACATGTATGAGGGAGAAAAGACCTGTGTGAGGAAGTAGGAGGGGTCTCAGACCATTTTTCGGTCATGATGGGGTTACATCAGGGGTCGGAACTCAGCCCTTTTTTGTTCGCCTTGGCGATGGATGTACTGACTCGCCACATCAAATGGGAGGTGCCGTGGTGCATGTTATTTGCAGACGACATTGTTTTGATTGACGCGAGACGGTAGTAACGCGATGTTAGAGGTGTAGAGACAGACCCTGGAGTTGAAAGGTTTTAAGCTGAATAGAACCAAGGGAGAATACTTGGAGTGTAAGTTTAGTGGTGCTACTTAAGGAGTGGAAAGGGAGGTGAGGCTGGATTCACAAGTCATCCCTAGGAGGGGGAGTTTTAAGTACCTTGGGTCTATTATACAGGGGGATGGGGAGATTGATG